CTACACGACGCTCTTCCGATCTCCCCAAAACCCCAAAACCCCGCTAGCAGTATGCATGAGAAAATTGATGATGATGGATTTTCTTAAGAAATTATGGATAAGTGGACAATTTAGCACTTTATTAAGAAAAGACCTATGATGAAAATTAAGAGGAGTTAGTCTCTTAGTTCCTCTAAAGTTTGCCTATATTTTCTATTTGGACAATCCAAAACTATGAAAATGTAAGCAAGAAAAGGAGTTTAGAGACTCATCTCGTGTCATTTTTAAGCTGATATCAGTAATTTTCCTCACACCATCTTACTCTCTTACCATTTATCCATTCACCCTTTCTCTTATCACTGTCTCTTGATGCCCAATAAAATCCAAATCCATGTTGTTATCCGTAGAGCCAGTCTCCTTGATATTTCTTGCCATCTGGCCATGAGAAAGTACCCTTGCCATGCTTCTTGTCATCATAGTATTCTCCCTCGTACTTTCTTCCGTCAAGCCAAGTGAAAACACCCTTGCCATGCATCTTACCTTTAATCCAATAGCCTTGGTAGCATCTTCCGTCAGCCCATGTGTACTTCCCGTATCCATGAATCATGTTTTACTTGAATTGGCCTGAATACATAGAGCCATCTACCCACTTGAACACACCTTGGCCTTCCTTGGCACCATTCACAAAACTACCCTCATAATAATCACCTGATGGTAATGTCTCTATACCTTTTCCAGTTTGCTAATCATTCAAAAAATCGCCTACGTAGACAGGCCCTTCGTATATAACTAACTTTCCTTTGCCATTCGCCATGTCATTGACCCATAGACCCTCGTAGACGTCACCAACTGAATGAATCAATCTTCCCCTTCCATGTGATTTGCCATTTTTCCAGTAGCCCTCATAGTAAGAGCCGTCCACCCAGGTTTGAGTTCCTCTACCGTCCCTCAATCCAGTACTTGAGTTAACCTAACCATCATACATAGATTCATCGTCTTTTACAATTTTCTTGAATTCTCTTTCAATATCATCTTTTAACTAAGTTTCATCATAAACGAAAGCAGGCAGCGTTTTCTTGAGATCATGCACGATAGGATTGAAAAAGGCTACTTGCTTAGCAGATATAGCTGTGAATGATCTAAACTTATACTGCTTGTAAATCTTTTTTCTAGTGATGATTCCTCTGACGATTGCTTACACCCTTATCAAGGTCTTCATAGTTCTAGTGTTACTCCTGCATCGATGGATCAGTTCTTTGCGCTCTTTATCTTTCCTTTACTGCTCCTCGAAATAAAGCTACTCCTTCATCACAGATGTTAGCTCTGCTCCCACTGTTTAATTCAAGAAACTAGGCTCACCATCAAAAGTGTTTTAATTCAAAATCTTGCTTATATTAACTTCTGTGGTTTGATTAGTCAAGTTCACAAAAGACTTAGCCATAGCCTTGTTCTTTTTGAATGAGCGGGGTCTGTACTTGTTATTCTGGGAGGTCATAGGTTTCACCATCGAGTCTGATCTGATAGCCTCGGTTGGACTCATCAAATCTTCTGGTGGTCTGCTAGTGCAGCACATTTAACCCATTTTAAGAACTTATTATTCGATATATAAATTTACTTAGCAATAAATACTGTTCTATTTAGGTTACCTCACTAAAATTTCAATAATGTGTTCACGGGGTTTTGGGGTTTTGGGGTTTTGGGGTTTTGGGG